TGTGGGTATTGCCGCGGGCATAGGGCGATTTCTGTGACATTCAGTATTCGGATGAAGGGTTCGGCTGAGGACGTCTTCGTCCTTGATTATGGAAGAGATATCCATCTCACACCTTGTTTAACGCGAGGGATGTTATCTATCCTTCAGGAGGAAGCAATTGCTCTTGAGGTGAGGATGTTGCTGTGGACATGGAGTAGATAGCTCAGGTGTATGGAGAATCGGCAGCGGCAGTTGAGGCTGAGAGGTTGAGGGAGGAGGAGAGGCGAGAGAGGAATGAGAGAGCAGTCAGATGGGCCACAGAGCAAGGTCCAGCGACAACTCGATCCATCGGTTATGCGCAGCAGTTGCCTGGCGAGCCGATGCGGCAGGAGAGTGGATGGGTTATGCAGAAGTCTCCATCGGCTGCAGAGGACATGCCTACAACTTCAGAAGTTGATGCTGCGTCATCGTCCATGAAGCCAGCTGAGTTCAAGACGTCGATGATGTCTCGCTGTTGCCATGTACAATGAAAACCTCCGCATTGTGTGCATCTCACGTAGTTGTGTTTTAGCCTGTGAATAGGTGTGATACTAGAGTTTGGATTCGGGATGGCGCATGTGACCAACGGCCACTGACCATGATAAAAGGAGGACCTAATCCGAGATTCACAGGGTTGCGTAGTGACTACGCCGTGGTCACCGCGGTTAGCGTGGGCCTAGGAATGACGAGTGCACAGGATGAGTACCTGTGCTCGACGTATCTGACGGTTTCAGATTCCGTAACGGTCACCAAGGAGTGTACTGGGGCCTATTTCACAAGCCCTCATTTGTAAGGTACCTTACGGTTTTAAGTGTCCATTCAAGCTTCCCGCGTCCATAGTAGTAGTTGTACCGCACAACCACCGTACAAGCCATTTGCCCTGACCCGTACAACTTGTCAGGGCAAATGGCTTACAGTAGGACTTTTGAGAGAGCTCTATCGAAGCACTGTGTCGATTTGTTAATGCGCGTCGGTATGGGTTGAGGTGCTCCTTATTGGGGTCCACGAGATGCACCTTAAATTTAGGAGCATAAAGAGCATGAGGTGGAACTGTAGTGAAAGCGCCTCGCGTAAGGTGTAAGGCTCCTTGCTCCTAAATTCAAGGTGCACCTTAAGGAACGTTTCTTGTGAGACAGGCCCCTGAGCCTAACTGTCCTCAAATTGAGTGAGTTCGATTCAGCCTCGGTTATAATCCCTGGGTTGGTACGTCTTGTACTGGTTCTCTGGTCTACTGTGTGTCTGCTACGACTAGAGCACGTGGGTAGATACAATAGTTACTACAGCATCTCAATCTCAAATTAAGCAAATGAAGGAACAAATTAGATAAATGAAATTTGATCTTCGACGAGTGAAAGGAGTTTTTCACGGAATAAATGATCGAATCCGAAATGAAAGTTCGATTTCGTAGAACGGTCGAAAATAAGAGTCCAAGCTCGTAAATGAAATCTATGAATCTGGAAACGCAAGTTCAAATTCGTCTAACACACGACCAATTTCGACCAATTAAAGCTCCGGGATGCCGCATCCCTACGGGTCGTAGCCGGTTCTCAAGCTCACCTTAGTCCAAGACACAGCGCGGACTTGGATACTCATGCTTATATCATCTGAGTCGTCGTCATCCTCGTACGACTGTTCCAGTTGGTTGAACCTAACCTGCTTCACGAGATCTTCTTCAGGGAACATCGGATACCCCGAGAAGACAAACGGTGTAACTGGCATTCAACTTGAATGATTCAAGGGAAGATGTCCGCCCCACACGGCACTGCGCGCTTTTGATGAGCGCGAATGGAGTTCCCCGTCGCTCCGCTCAATCGCGAGTAAACCCACGTTATGAGCCCAAGTTGTCGATGATATCATTCACGGTGAAGTCCACAAGATACTGGAAGGCTCGAAACTCTACCTCAGTAACAAGCGCCAAGGGATGAGCCGTGAAGACCTGGAAGCACGTGGCAGGGCTGCCTTTCTATTGCTGCTAGCACCAACCTGTAGCCAAAAGTTGGGTATTCTCTCTAATATTCGAGCCCGGGCTCGTATAACGGCTGCTTTTGACAATCATATTCTCGTTGTACCTTGATCGAGTGGCCGAAACGATACTATGAACACTCGGGTTACTCGAATGGGCTCGCGACAACATTCCTTATTTACAGCATCCAAGGCAGTCTGCGAATCTTCCAGCTCTTCCATCAAAGAGGGCTGACGATATCGTTTTTCGTCCTGGGTCGAGCTTGTTGGATCATTGAATGCCGAGGTTCGTTTCATGCGACGGTTTATGCACACAAGCTTGGAAGGGAAGCATCGAGAGAATCTACTGTGAACTTCTAAGGGCATCTGATGACCCTGCCAAGTCGGCCAACCCTAGTGGCAGCCTAGAAATCTCCTGTATGAGCTTCTATTCTGTCGCGCCCTGAGTGGAGATCAACCAACAGAGAATTTGGTATACGCTTTTCCAGGAACACGTCAGATAAATTTTGCTCTCATCTCTGGATTTAGTGGAGTAGATAAGGACTAGAGTTGGGAGCTATGAAAGGACGAGACA